GACTACCACTTCTTCCAGGGTTTGGACCACTTCTTGCAAGGAAAAATATTCAATTCTCAACAAGCTGCGGAAAATGCCTTTTGCCATTTCATCGCCACTTGCTCTCCAGGCTTCTTCGCTGCTGGCATAAACAAGCCACCGTTAAGATGGCAAAATTGTGTGGATAGTTTAGGCACCTACTTTGATTCATTGTACTGCCTCTTGTTTGAGATATAATAAACTACACTTTTGATTAGAAATCAGACATTTCATATATAATGACCTAATATTTTGGATTCCATGGTATTGGAAAGGTTCTTATGCTAAAATAACATAAAAACGTCTGCTATCTAATTGTACAGCATGGTGACTAGTTAATAACAATGTGCTGTATACTTAAAAATTGCTAAGAGTAGACTGTAAGTGTTCTTAGAACATAAAAACGATAAGTATGTGAGAAAACGCATACCTTAATTATGGGGCCATTGTGAAGCTTGATTTAGCCATTCTGCAATGTATACATATATCACATGTATACATATATTGAAACATTATGTTTTACACCATAAACACATACAATTTTTATTTGTCCGTTGAAAAAGAGCAATGCCTGAAAAAAAAAAATCCCAACTGCTCTAATTATAAAGAACTCTTCCACACACAAAAAAGAAGAAAATTCTGGCCATAAGAAGGTTGCCTGGAAGTGGCCACCTCTTTTGTGGTCTTCTCTCTCCCTCTGAGACAGACATGAGCCTTCTTGCAGACCCTGGTGGAAATACTTTTGAGATGCTGGAAACCGTTTGATCCAAGAACCAAAATGCTTATGCCAGCAGTGACGTGGGCATTAGGTCAGGTCACCATGTATAGCTATTTGTGAGAAAAGAGAAGGCCAGGAAGAGAAAAATAAGATTTAGGTGAGGCAGAAGGAACGGGCTAGGGGCAAATTACATTAAGAGAGAATGGAGGTGTCTTGAGAATAATTAAAATACGAAGAGGGAGTTCAGAAAATTTATCTTGGGTGCTTAGGTGAGGTTGGCGACATATTCAGATGCCTGAGGGGTGTGTGTGTGTGTGTGCACGTGTGTGTGCATATGTGCAAGTGTGCATATGTGCAAGTGTGCAATGGGTCATTCTTTTCAGGAACAGTGAGCTGCCCTTTCCCACCCCAGCATTTGAGCGGTCCTGCCATTGGTCCAGGTTTGCTCAGCACCGAGGCACCCAGATGCGATGGCAAGAGGCACGATCAGAGTGCCCCCCACCAATCTGCTGAACAGCTGTCAAGGTGAGACCTCCCACATAGAACTCAGGTGCCACCTTCAGAGACTGGGAAGCTTCTCCACAGAGGAGAATGAAGATGTCCAGGAAATTAAGCCCATCCAAAAACTGAAATATTTTGGAAATGTAGCCTTTAGTGGGGAGTAGGGTAAGAGGCAAGATAATACTTATTCACCCTAGTTCCTTATTTGATGGTAAGCATGGTATTAAACGATAATGTTCTGTTCTATTTCACCCTCCTCCCTCATAGTTTATAGGACCAGAGGGAGTTTCTTGTTCCAGTCAGTTCTACATTAATATTTTAGTGTGGCTGTCACTAAATAGTTGACATGTTCTGCCCTGGAGGTAATTCCATGTCATCAGGAGGGGATGATAGACAGAAACATATATAAACACACAATTGCTTTCAAAAATAAATACAAGGCCTTTAGTTAAAAGGTGCTGTGTAAAGGAAGTGAGCATCCTCTTTCTTGCAAAGCCCGCACACAGCTCCCATCAACCTTGTAACCACGGCACAGTTGGTGTTAAGACTCAGACCCCTTAGGGCTGGAGACTCGGCTTAGAGAGAGTCTTCGTCCTGCCTTGATTTGGGAGGTAACGTTCCCTTTGGTTTTACGATGTGGATCTCCTAGTAGACAAGACAAGAGAACTCTGGGTCTCCAGGCCACTGCGCACAGCCTGGGCTAGTTTGTTCTGTCCTTTTCCTCTGTGGGGACCAATGCCAGGACTCGAAACAAAGGTTCTGTGTCTTTGCATAGGTCTGAGACGGTGATAGGGCCTTGACCTGTAGGGAAGACCAGGCAGATTTCTGTGCAGAGTAATTGGGTTTCTAGAGTTGGTTTCAGTTCTCAATGTGAGGGCAGCTTGCTTTGCCTCTCTCTCTTTAGTCTTCCCAGCCCCACAGTGGAGGCGATCAGCTTTGCATCATCACTCTAGGCACTTTCCCTGTCCGTCTTTCCCCCCGGGGCATCCTGGGAGCATAGAGCAAGTCTTGGAGGTCTGAGATGTGAACTAGACAAGAGCCTGATTCCTCCTTGAGAACTGACAGTGTGTCTGTGTAAAGAATCTGCTGTGTCTCACGTTTCGTGGTCACACCTCTTATCCAGGAAGGACAAACTTGATGTATCTGAGACTTGTAGTAGAAAGTTTCAGGACATCCCTCTCCTCCTTCCCTTCCCCTCCCTTCCCTTCCCTTCCCTTCCCTTCCCTTTCCTTCTTTCCTTCCTTCCTTCCTTCTTTTCTTCCTCCCTCCCTCTCTCCCTCCTTCTCTTTCTCTCTTTTCCTTCTTTCCTTTCTCTTTCTCTCTCTCTCTTTCTTTCTTCTTTCTTTCTTTCACCTTTCTTTCCCTTCCTTCCTTCCTTTCCATCATCTATTTATCAATTTGACACCAGTATTATCTTGTGAAAGTTGGCAATAGGGTGAAAACCCTCATACTCCAGAGGAATTTCTCTATGGCTGTAATATACCTACAAATGCAGCTTCTATGTGTGTGTGTGTGGTATTGTTTTTGTTTTCCTCCTGGGAGATTCAACTAAGTCCCAAGTAAAGCAAATAATCAATACTTAATAATTACCCACTAAGTACCAGACACATTGTTAGGTACTTTACATACGTAAAAACTCCGCAAATAAAGTGGCTTGTGAGGATGAGGTGACATCTTTCCATCCCCCACCCCACCCTGACTCTTCTCAGGACTGTCTCAACGGAGCAGTCTTCCCATCTAAACGGACAGAGTAAGAGTGGATAAAGGAATGGAGATGGAACCAGAACTCTTCAGCTAGAAATTAAAGAGCCTATAATTAAAGGTGATTGGGACAGGGCCAGAGAGCCACATAACTCTGAAGCTGCTTTTGAAGTTCACTACCTCTTGATCACACAACCCTACTCCCTAATTCCCACCCTGCTATCTCAGGCTATCTCCAGCAAAAGTGCAAAGAAGGCCAAGTTCGCTTGCCTGGAGTCCCACTGGCACCAATTACACCCCTCCCCCCACAGGCAAATACCCTACGGTGGGCGGAGTGAGCTACTTCAGGCTGCTCCTGATTCATGTCTCAAGTAAAACTCCAGCAGGCTGTTCCCTCGGGGCCCTGCTCAGATCTGAAGCTGATAAACTAATTGGGGCTAATGTGATAATGGGCAGTAATGACATTTACTGTTTTTATCAGTCCCAAGGCGTACATTTGCATTTTAACAGGGCCCTTGGCAAGCACACAAAGTGGAGCAGTCGGGATGGGTGGGAACTTTGGTGCAGGTTAGGGAGGCAGAGGGGCTTGTGAGAGCTACACTGCGCGGCCCAAACCTTCAAGACCCAGAGTTCCAAGACCCTCCCAAGTCTGCCCCTGCCCTTCCGCCATGGCTTCTACACTTTCAGAAACCTCTGCATTCATGTTGCATAAACTAAGAAAACCAGCAAGAAAGGGCTCACACGACCGCTCACTCACTGTTCTGCCTTAATATAATAACCACGTTTTACTTTTTGTTCTGTTCATAGTCAGCCTTTGCTCATATGCAGAGCTTTCTTTTTTACACAGGGAACTTCTTGGTTTTGATCACAAAATCTTTGTCTCTTTGCCAAAACTCAATTTCTCTTCCCTCTCCCACAAAGGGGAGGCCTGGTAAGTTGTAGAAATCTGCTTGGATTCTTCTTCACTCGTGCCAGGCCAGTGTCCAGGAAGACCTGAGAGAGAAAGTTAATGGTTAAGGGATTGTATTTTTGCTTGCCAGGACTAGCCGCTCACCTGTACGGGTGGAGGTAGATTTGTGCCCCAGTGAAGCAGGTACAGGTAACTCCCGACATGCCCCTTGGCCCAGGGAGGTGGGGGTTGCATGGAGATTTAAAACCCGTATGTCCCCTGCAATGTTCCACCTTCTTCTTGCCCAAACTGTGTTGTTTTATTTCCAGCTTCAGCATCTTGGTCTTTCCCTCTCTGGCTTCTATAGGGAGTGTCCAAAAACAGTTAAAAAAAAAGATCATGTCAGTGTCAAGAGGAAGTGAAGGGCCTAGATAATCCACCAACTGGATAATCAGCTGTTGCACTGTTGAGAGTTGACTGCTCGATCTGAACATCTCATAATGGACCCTCCCTCTTAGGACCCTCCTTTTCGAACCTTCTATCAAGGCTCTTACCTGGGGCCGGGGGAGACAGGCTTTTCAGAGTTCACCGAGATGGCCAAGGGTTTCTGTCAAAGAGGCAGTCACGTGGCTGGAGACAGGACTGGCGGGGAGAACCCTGCAGAACCGGCCACTGCCCAGCCAGGGCGAAGATCTGTACACCCAAGCGGAGTGGACCGAACACACACTAGCAAACGGAGTGGGTGTGCAAGAGGCCCCACACCGCCCTACCCCATCATCTCCTCCAGATTTGGACTTTGCTTTTACATCCTCCCTTCCTACTGGCGTCTTGGTGAGCACAGGGCTTTTCACCTAAAACAGCCTCTGAGCTGAAAAGAACAGTCACCACCAAATCAATTCCTCATCCATTAACAGGTTGTCTCTCTGTTCTTGAGACACAGGCATAACCTGGTTAGACCTGTTTTGTTTGAACACTAACGTGTGAGTTGGCCAAATGCAAATGAGCCAATGTTTGTAATCCTTTATTTTATTTTTTTAAAGGGCCAGGCAGCCAATCAGAAGAGGGGGAAGTGACTTAGGGAATTCCCGGTTGGTGGCTTATTGCTTAACATCCTACAAAAATGATTTAAAATTATTGTCATATGCATTTATCTTCACTCTGATGAGGGCTCAGACGTGATAACACCTGTGGCTCCCCATCCCTGGAGGAGCTGGCCTGGCTGCTGTCTGCCGCCTTCCCTCCATTAGCCACAGCTATTGGATTTGCCACCCAGAATCTTTAGGTAAATGAGGTAAGTCTTTATTTTTAAACCTTCTTTTGACTCTGGAATTCAAACACCTGAGTGGAAAGAAAAGCCTGCCTTAAATCAGACGGAGGAAAATAAAACAGACTCCTGGAGGCAGCTGGCAGGAAGTGAAGCTTCCCTTACATGGGCTTACCTTACTGGGTCTTAGTAGAGTTTTATTTTGGGGGGCAGCTGGGTTACTTTGGATGTTATCTGTGGATTCCATGCTTTGTCTGGACTTCCAATCACTGTGAATTTATCTGTGTGGCAAAGTCTGGATGGAATTCTTCCGAAACAAATAGGTAGCTACAGACAGGTGACTCTGGCAGAGCTGAGCAAAGAACTAGTTGGCTAAATAGCTGTTGGGGCTCAGAGTACACGACCTCGCTTTCTAGAGATGTCTTCTCCTGGTAATTTTTCTGACTCATGAGCTGTAGGGAAAGGCCAATTCATTTTCAGTGTGTTCCAATGTTGGAAAATGGCTGGAAATAGGCAAGGACATATGCATCCACACTAGAAAAAGTGATCAGGGAGGCAAGGCAGACAGGGGTATTGGGGAAAGCTGAATACCTAAAAATGATCTGTCCAGAAAAAAAAAATCAATTTTGGCAAAGGATTTCAAGGGGGATTTCAAGGATTTCATATCTCAAGGGGACAAACTGACCCTTTGTCTGTTCCATTTGGAGATACTATGACCAGAGGGGCAGATGTGACTCAGCAGTAACATGTGCCTTCTAGGACAGGGACTCTTTTGATTTGGTTTGGACACCATGGAGAAGTGTTGGCCCCAGTGTGGACAGAACCGGGAACAGTGGGGTATTAATCTTCTTGTTGGTAAATCACAGCACTGAGGAGAGAAAGTGACATTTTTAACATCCGTCTTTGCTGATTTAGCACACTCCCAGTATTGTGGGAATGTGTGATTTTAATACAAAGTGTAAGAGTCTACGAGTCAAAGTTCACAGGTATCCCTGCTGGTTATCTGCACTGACCTTAGCAACTGGGAGAAAGTGAGTTGAGTGTTTGGATTCTGAAAACTTCCTGATGGAAAGGTCTAACGCAGGACTTGGTTCTGTAGGCATGGGTGTGAAGCTGTGTTCAGATAGTCTTTCAAAGTGTAAAAGGGCAATCAAAGATCCTGAATGGCTATGTGCTAGTTCCACTGAGGTCAAGGGAAGAGTCAATTTCCAACAGGAGAGATGGAGACACGCTATTAGGAAGAATTTTACGGTTAATAGATGCTATCAGAAAGGGCTCTTGAGAGATTTCAAGAATGACTTTGATAGCTGCATTTGGAGTTTACATGAGGCTCCACTTGTTTTCTTTTTGTGACTTAAAATTCTGGGACTATGAAGTAACTCATCAATTCCCTCCTCTTATAACATGGACTCATGTAGGACCATGTCATTTCCACCACGATGGCTAATGGTGTTTAAAAACCATGATGGAACATGAAATGAGAGCCATTTGGTAGTCTGTAATCACACTTGAAAGAATAATAAATATAATGGAGACAATTCTTCTCCATGTTTCCAAAATATTTTACAGACGCATTTTAAAAGAAAGTCACTTTGTGTGAACAGCCGTGCTGAAAGTTCTCTTACGTGACCATCCAAGATGGTGGCCCTCGTCGGGCCCTTTTAAAGGTGGTGTGGGTGGGGCGAGTGTTTGATCCAGGCCTCGTTTGTACAAACGTTCCCATATGCAGTTATATTTCTTCTTTTGTGTTGAAAGTACCCATTTGTTAAATTTGAACAATACTTTTTGGATATTTTTTCATTTTTTTAATATATTAGTATATTATGATCTCCCAGTCTAGAAGTGCCTTTGGCCTTTCTGGACGTCTGCAAAGCCCTCCGTTCACACTCAGGCTCCCACTCATTGACCAACTTTATTTACTCTGATCCTCTTTCAATATCTTTCTGACTCCTAAGGGTCTGAAAAAAAATGGAAACAGAGAGGTTAAACTGTTTACTCAGTTGCATTCAATCAACTAATTGGAAACTAGAAGGAACTCATATCCGGTCACCATGTGAGTGCTTCTGGCCAAAGTTCACTTCTAAGGAAGTAGAATTTATCTTTCTGGAATGTTGTAATGTTTTATTTCTGCCATATCTCCCCCCACCCCTCGCCCTACCCAACCTCCCCACATTTGGGGGTTTGAGTGTTGGGTTGTGATCACTAGACCATCTTGCTTTCCTGCAAGCCCCGTGCGAGATCCCCATGTCATGTGGCTGCATCATGCACAGACGTAGAGACGTTATTCCATCTTTCCCCTTCCTCCAGATGGAGTCATCCGATTTTCAAAGACCTCATGCTAATCCTGGGGAGATGGGGTGGGGTGGATACCAAGGATGCCGTGGTAGAACCTGCTAACACTTGAGAAGCAATGACATGGTTTTGAGGAACTAAATGTAAAGCTTGAACATGATTTTCCTTAACACCATTTTGCTGCTGTTTCAGTTCACTTCTCCTGCTAAGATCGCTCTCTGGTAGAGTAGAAGTGACAATCATTTCTGTTGTGGGTGGGGCCCTGGTTGGGAGGCATTGGCTCCACGGCAGGCTTGGTGTTTAGAGACCATGCATACTCACTCTGCCTTTGTTACTGGGTAACCGAACGCGGCGCGGTGGCTCTTAGCTTGGGTAAGTGGAATCTGCGGCGTGGGCATCGCCATCTGCAGACAGAAGCAGGAGGGCAGCCCACGTTCTCTTAATTCTGTTGCTGAATAACTGAAGGCAGGGGGTAGATAATGAACTTTATTTGGCATCTTCGTATCTAATTTTTACTAATATGATTTAGAATAATACAATTTCTTCTAAGGAACAGGCAATTGTGCTCTTATTAATAATATGTGACTATTATTAGGTTTATGTAAATTGCACAGGGTTTTAAAGGGCCAGACCATTAAGCTGTGCAGGAAATAAACAGTGCAGTGGAGAGGATATTCCCCATACAACAGCTAATCTTAGGATGGGACATATTTTCTAGCCAAATGGCACTGATGTCAGGAAGCTAGGATGTGCTGGAGTAGAGATTTCCACGGATCCGTTGGAGTTATTTGATAAAGACTTTATTAGACTTCAGAGGGGAAAAAATATATTTCTTTAAGAATCTCCCCTGAAGAATTTCAGACTCCAGCTTTTGAGTGATTGGGGCATAGTGTAGGGAAGGTAATATGTGGGACCGTGCTTGGGATGGCAGTCCGGAGACCTGGTGTTCTAGCCCTGGTAGGGCTCTGTAGCCCTGAGCAATGTGCTCTACCTCTCTGAGCTTTAGCTTCCTCATCTGGACAAAAGATTTGAACCTGGTCATCTTTAGGATCCACTTCGACCCTCAGATTCTGTAGCCATTGTGACTGGGGTGGGGGTGGATGGGGGAATGGGCTTTGGACCAGCCGTGCCTGGAGGTCAGCGGGATCAGCATGTGCCTGTGAAAGCTGAGAACGGGATGGAAGATGCTAAGGATGAGGCAGGAAAGAAGCCCTCCAATGGCTTCCTTAGGGTCTTCAGAATTTTGGCTGAGGGATGTACCTCGTGGAGACCCTAAGACCCGACACCTGGAGCCTTCACTGGGGGTGAGAGTCCACTCCCATGGCAGCAGCCCCGTCTTTATCAGTTTGCCTCATGTGTCCCAAGCTGGTGGGAGTGTAGAAGCGGGTGAAGCAGGCGGTTTTGTGACCACAGGGAGCAGTCGATGTACATGAGCAGGTGCTCTAATGGCATCTCCGATAAAACACCAAAGGAGCCTGCTGGAAAGTGAACATTCCAGCGCCCGTGGTGTCTACTGAGCTCGACTGACCATGACTTACTGGGTAGACTGGATGGGTCACTTCTCCTGGAGGAAGACCCTGTGGGTAATCCTAGGGGAACATGGCCCTTGGACAGTCCAGCCTGGAGACCCCGGTGTTCCCAAAGGACCTCAGCTCTGTGTCTGGAGCGACCAGAGCTTGTAACAGTGTGAAGCACGGTGGCCCATTTAAAGAGGTGCCCAGGGTTTTAATTGACCTTGTTTTAAAAGAGACACCCTGTAAAATACTCCTATGAAAATTGATTTCACTAGCACCTAACCGCATTCTGTCTTTGGTTTGTTTTACGGGGCTGCGCCCCTTGTTCTGGTTCATAGGAATCACATTCTCTCTCCTCCTCCAGTCTTCCCCACACCCTGGCCCTCAGAGCCACCCTTGCTTCTTACCCAGAAGCATCTTAATTGTTTTTAAGGGTGCCTGCCTATTTATTTAAAAATATGACCAGTAGAGGTGCATCCAAAACATGCTTTCTGATGAAACAAAGCCAAAAATAAAAAGAAGCCAAAATACCTAGTATAATGGAGTGATTTTGCCAACTGAAAGACCACCTCATTAACCCCACTCTTTTAACATAACGACATAATTTTACTTTTGTATGACCTCATCTCCACGAGCTCTTTTTCTGATGTTGTTGTAATTATGGTGAACTTAAAAGGTCAGAGCTGCCCCTTCCCTGTCACCTGCTATCGTGGACACAATAAATAGTCTTGGGGCCTGGGCCTTTATTGGTCCAGTTGTGGCTTTGAGAAATTTCAGTTGCCCTGCCAGCTCTTTCTCAGCCTGATGCAAACTTCCCCCAGAGTCTGTTGAGCCTCACTTGGAATAGGAAGAGGGTCTTCCACTTTTTGTGTACGACAACAGAACTTAGAGAATGTGGCCATCTTGTGGAGGTTATTACGGGCTTCCTCTTAGGAACCTTTAAACAAAATCTCTTCAGTAGGGCTGATGGATTCTGGAGGATGAGGTGAGTGGGGTCTGAAAGATGAGAGTGATTTTCAGTGTTGTTTCTTTTCTTTTTGTTTTTTTAAGCCCTATATCTTGAGGACAATAATTTTGTTGTTGTTGTTTTTTTGTTTTTTGAGACAGGGTCTCGCTCTGTCGCCCAGGCTGGAGTGCAGAGGCGTAATCATTCAGTCCTGTTTTCATGGTGACTACCAACAAGACTTATTTTGTCTTTGCAGTGGGCTTTAGATTTGACTC